ACCTTGGACTAGTCTTCGAGAGTAGATTCACCAAATCCTGAATATATTGCAACGCGTATACAACAACAGGTTCGGATACGTTTGTTGGTCGTGCCAGAACAATGGTCAAGTATCGGTGCCAATTGATCTGTGGTACCAAAGTTTTCAGTTCTCCGATGCTCATTCTCTGATACAATTCGGCGAAGTTTCTTCTTTCGTCGGGAGCCGAGGTGATCTGTCAAATTAATTATATTATTTCAATGAACTAGTCGAAACAGGTGGAAAAAATGACCAAATATTAATGCTAGAACCATCGACCGGGTCAAAAATGACCCATCGGCAATTTTCCAAAAAAAGTGACAAATATCGTTGTTTGTAACTTTCCAATTTTACTTTCTGTATGTATACTCCTATTTGTATCGATACGAATCTAATTTTATAAGCACTTTTCGTTCGTTTTAAGAAATTTTCTTTTGGAAAATCGCCGACGGGTCATTTTTGACCCGATCAACGGTTTCAAAGTTGAAGAATGTTGAAAACCTTGGCGAGTCTCGTCTCGAATTCTATCAATTCGTCAGCATCCATGGTGGCATTTTTCAAGGACGCACCCAGGAGAGTGGCGATCTTTATTAAATAATTCTTGTAGGCTTTTAGGTAGATCGTATTCGACGGCTGGAGGAAATAATCTCTCGTGGGTAGACCTAACGATGTCTGATCGAACTGCAATTAAGTTGTTAGATTCGATATTTCATCGAGAATTTTGTAGAATATTCTAGCATTTCTAATTTTAACCCTCCTCGATGAATTATCAATTGTTACGTGGGCAGCCCTCGTTTAACGCGTAAATTAGTACAGGTAACCCTCGGTATAATGCGGTCTGAAAATTGCGGGGGCCTTCGTACAACATGAAACCTTGGGTGAAAATTAACATGGAGATTCCCCTTGTTTTTCATTGCAACAGCTTTAAATGTTAACACTTGGCTGCCGCTTGCATTCTTGGTTTATTTTTCAGCGTTGAAATGTCACAGAAAATTAAGGAAAATTTCATGAAAGATAAAAAATTCTTCAATTTAAAAATTTTTTTAAAAGTCTTCTTATCTCTTTGGAAGAGAATCTTAATTTTTGCATTGCTTTTTAGTATGCTCCAAAATTTTGTTGAAGAAGGTGTTTTTTAACACCTGTTACCTAGATCGTATATCAAAAAATAATCTTTCAGTGAAATGTCAAAAAATCCTTGAATTTTTAAAATAATTAAAAATCTTAAACTTTTTTTTCGACACTTGTTATATTCTGTATCATATAATATCGAAATCGTGTTGAACAAAATGACAGTTTATCAGATAAGAATATCGTAGAATCTTTTATAATTATTATCTATTAGTTTGTAATTAATCTATTTTGAATCTTATAATTCTATTATCTACCTGTATAACGTACTGATCGCTGTTCTTAATATCCGGTGCAACCCACTCAGAAATAAGAATATCATTATTATAGAGCCTCAACTGCGCGACCAAGAGGAGCCAGTCGAACTTCTCTGGATCCCAGTCAGGCCTCAAGATTGGCCATCCCCCAAGCTCATCCAAGAGCTGTATAAGCGGCCGTTCCATGCGTTGCTCCAAGATCTCTAGCCACATTTCTCGTGTTAAAACTTACAGCAATTTACAAATATTGATAAGCAAGTACAGTGACGTCGCTAGAGTTGGTATCACCCTCTCATAGATCTCTCAAAATATAAAAAATAAGAAAATTAGCTTAGGATTTCAAGCTTTTAGCCTTGTAGGTGTACTGACACATATAGTGTGGACCTAAAAAAATTATTTTCGCGTTATAACTAACTACAGCAGTGGTACCCAAATTTATTTTGGGGACAATCCTCGTCGTCCTAATTTTAATAAGATATAAAATTTCTAACATTTCTAGAATTATTTAGAAATTATTTTCTAAATTACTTTAGAAACTATTTTTTAGTCAACTTTATTAAAAGACACCGCGGATTCCACTTTAACAACATTTTTATTTCACTATAATCCCGGAAACCATAGCTATATTTACGAAATAAAAATTGTTCCATAAATTTTTGCTGAATTTCGTTAAAATTTCCTTATCTCGTTTGAATTTTCTCATGAAAAGTTACAAATGTTCGCTGAAGCGCTACGCAAAAATTTCACAGACCGCCATTTTGGTAGCACCTTTGCGCCGCCCTAGCAACGTCACTGCTCGAGCCTCCTCAACTGAACAAATAATTTACCGTAATTCACACAACTCTGAAACAGATATTTCGCTTTCACCGTGGCATCGTCCGTGTTCAATTCCAAATCCTTCGGTATAGGATCCTCGAGAAGCTCTTTCAGCACAGAGTCCAAGGATTCTCTGATCATCTCGAAGGTGTCGTACGCGGCCTTGTCTTTCGGTATAGGATTGTGCTTAGCCCAGTTACCGCAGGCGAATTGGTAGAAGTCCTCGCAAGGATCAACGCTCCTGTCCATGTACTTCAGCATGATTTTTGCTGCGGCGAATATCTGTTTCTTAAAAATCGTATGAGCAGCAATTACGTAGAATAATTCAAGAGACAGCGTCGCAATTGTACCTTGAGCCTCCCTGATGGCCCGTGCGTCCCCCTCTCCTTTCCAAAAGGTATGAAAATCCGTACTGGTGTCCTCCGACTGTTCGTCGGAAATTGGCAAACTTGTGTCTGAATCATCGTCGGAGATCGAGTGTCTTCCTCCTTGTTCACCCTCGTCTGACTCGTCTTGAGAACGTTCCTCGATGTTGTCGTACTTTCCATTGAACAGCTTCGAACGCAGCTCTTCGTTCTTGCGAGTGTCGTACCTGAAGAAGAAAAGCTCTGAGGAGAATTTGGCTCGAACTATACAAAGTTTGACAGTAATTACTGGAAGAATTTAAGCACAATTAGCTATTAAAATTGCTTCACCAGGGTGCATACTAACTCTCGATAATCGTTGCTCTGTATCTCTGAGATCTTTTTGATCTCGTCAGCGTCCACTTCGGGATAATAATCGTCCAGGAAGTTGTCTAGATCCTCGGAATTTTGATCGTCCTCTTTATCGCTGTTATAGTCTGTCGATTGTTCCTGTATGAAACGTTCGAACGGGGTTTTCTCTTGTGTGTGAAGTTAGGATGAAAGATTGAGTGACATGAGTGTTCTCCTTGTGATCGTTGGAAGGAAAAAAGACATGGCAAATTTAATTGTCCTTGCACGAAACGAGACGATGGCCAGTGAGACGATCGATATTTATACGGTGCACCAGTAACACTAATTTAATGTTGATTAACTCTAATTAACGACGCTGCGCACGGCACTCGTTAGTGCCTCGTTACCTTCTCCAACGTTTTTGCTAAGTTATCGGTAAAAATTCTTTCGTTGGTCGTTTCACGAAATTCGATAAATTTCACAATTTTCTGTGCGTTCGTGTCAAAGTATGAGAAAGATTGCCTGACTAGTAATTTTCATTTGGAACGTTCTATTTTGAACATAGTGATACTTTGTGATTAGAGAGTGTTTTCGTACATTTTCCACGCCTTTGCGCTGTTCAATTATTAATATAAAATAAAGAAGAGTGAAATTTTGTGGTGAAAGAATTTCTACCATTTCTGATCTCTAATTTGTCATATTTTCTACACTTTGCTTAATTTCTTTATTAACCCTTTCGTTGCCACAGATTTTGTAACACGCGTGATAGACAGTAAATTTTCAATCGTGGACGAGAAATGTTTTATTTTGAAAAATTAATTTTACTAAATTAACACGTGGAACTGTGCAAAGGACAAAATTCAGACGAAAGTGTGCCAAAAGACAGCTGAAGAAAAATTTCCAAAGCTCCCATAAGTACCAGCAGCAACGAAAGGGTTAAATTAAAGGGAAAAGTTAAAAAGAAAGAAATTTAAAAGATCACAAGAGGTCGAACATCACAGATTCGTTCGTCTGAAACGAGAGAAACTTTACTCTGCGGAGATAAGAAGTTATGACAGTAGTATCCCCATAGGTCCACCTTTTCTGACAAAATAACATCGATAAATCAAACCATAGAAAATTGCGCAAACGGAGAGCCAGTATCGTCTCATTAGCCATCTTCCCATCTCTGCACAGCAAAAAAAGGAAAGAAAAATGAAGAATCCTGAATGATTTATGAATAAGAAAAGAACACAGATCATCGCTCACACGAGTTCGTTCTCGCTCGTCCAGCGACAATCCCTCGCGATTCTCCTCGCTGATACCAGACTTGGGTAGATCGTTCGCTGTTCTCCAATCGCTAATCCTAGTGTCGCGTTGATTCGGATACAATATCCTGGAGGAAGCGAGGTCAGGTACGTCAGGTGATGAGGATGCTCGATTATCCTGAAAACGATCGTTCCGTTCTCTCTTCGGGACTCTTTTTTTCCAGACCACTTTTGATGCTCGTTCGAAGCCAACGATCGTGTAGATACGAGAAGGTGGATCTTTTTTTTTTGGCTCTTTTATTTTTTTTAGTGTTTTTGTTTGTTTGTTTTTTTTTTTTGGATTCGTTTCGACTCGATGGAAGTAAGAAAGGGAGCGTAGTAGAAGGAACATATAGAAGAAGCAGACGGAGAAGTGTGTGTGTGTGTGTGTTCGATTAGCTAGATCGCGCTCGATCGTGGATTCGCTTTGAATTTGCTTGTTTTGGATAAAGTACCACGTCCAGGTCTCTCTTGCGTCGTTGCAAAAGTCGTGGCGGAAGTAGAGTTTCCACCGGCACGTAGCTAGTTTTCATTCCAGGTACTAGGATTCTGTCTTCTTCCTCTTCTTCACCGGCACGCTCTGTCTCGCTCCGGCTGGTCGCTGTTTGACAGAATTTTTTAGGAAAAATTTTAGTCCGAAAAATGGGAATTTTGTCTGTGTATGGTGTTAGCTAATTATAACTTTGTAACTTTCTTGTTACCAGGTTTATTCGATACTTTATTCGACGAATATCTAAAATAGAGAAATTAAATTTTGTGCCTTTTTTGATGAACTTCAATTTTTATTCAGGAAAAATGGAACTTAATTTTCAGGTTTGAAATGATCTCCACGATTTTGGATAATTTTTTTTTCTTCTATTTATCGAGTAAGCGATCAAATAAATAAATAAATAATTCTGAGGAGTAACGAACTTAATCGAACTTCTGTAACTATTTGCAATCTTTCTCATCAGTCTCTCCCGCAAAAATGAATAATTCCCAGGAATAATATTCTCCACCTATCTTCACCTACGAAATCTCCTTCTTAATGCATCTGATTTCGTTCCATTTCTAACAGCCTTGACCCATATTTAATATCACCTCTGACAAGCTCATTGTACTTGGGAAATCTTACAATTAGAACATTCAAATGAGACATCCGGAACGACAGAACGGTGAAACGAATAAATTTCAGTATTTCCCTTTGACATAACGATCGTAGAATGTCCTCGAATTAAACGTCCTTTCGATGAGACACGAATTTGCACTCGAAATACTTAAAAATAAAAAGAGATCTTTTTCAAAAAAACCTATCATAATCGTTCTCCTTTGACAGCGATAAATCAGACCACGCGACTCGTACTACTTTACTCCGCCATTCAGATCTCCGCGAACAACCAACGAACCGGACGTCGTTAATATCAAGTTCACTTTACGATCGTTTCGTACCGAATACTTTAACTTACGCGGAAAAGTCTCGTCGATTTTATCGTCCTGTCTTCTGGTCGCGTGGACCAAGTAAGTGCGATGATAAGGAGCCTTGCCGATCACCTGTGATCGTGACAGCGCTATGAAAATTATAGTGATCGGCAGTAATACAGCAGGGATCAACAGCATCAGTTTCACACGAAAACGCCAAGTATCGTTTCCACCCATGCACCACCTACGATTATCCAAAGAAGAAGAAAAAAAAAAAACATTTCTCAATCTTCCATTCTAATACTCGCTATTCTTGAAAATTCTCGTTTAAAATACTAGTCGTTTCTTTTTTTTTTCTCTCTCTTTTTTTTCGACGTCTTACGAACTTGAGTCGACCAGTCTCCTTATTGATGGCCAATCGACAAGATGGACATGGACCACCGCTGAAGAAGTCGTCGTCGTTGTACTGATCCAAATTACTAGCGCTCCTCATCTTGTCTGAAAGCAAGTCCGACCCCTTCCTTCTCAGTCCTGTCTTTCTACTTATTCTACTTCATCGTATCGGACACACCGCGCGCTCACAAATTGCACCAACGTCGTGGTCTCTACCTCGAATCTCTACTTTGCCTCTTTTTTTTCTTTTCTAAAGAACTCACTGCTGATTCTCCCTTCTTCGATTTCCACGATTTTACATCTGTTTCTTTACACCACGCTCTCTCGAGATCGTACACACACGCGTTTACAAAATGAAAGAGAAAATGAACGATGACAGAATACAATACGTTGTTTGAAATTTGTCGAAGAACATAGAGAGAGAGAGAGAGAGAGAGAGAGAAGATCGGGAGGACCGCTTTCCGGTTCGGTGTGCGAACACCGCGCGCCCGTGAAGAGGAGAAACGACTGAGGCTTATTCTCTAACGGCTCCGATCTCGGCGCGAATGTTAATGTAACATTGCGCGTACGGTCGAATTAGTCCCGGCAGACATTTGTACGGGAGTAATTTCCATATGTAACAACGTCGGCGGTCAACGCCAATGGCGATGGCAACAACAATCGAGGCGGAGCTCTCTGTACGTGCACGCACACCGCGAGAGCCATTTTACGCGCTCCTTACGTCCAGTTACTCGTCAATCGACCCTAATAACTTGCAGTTATCGTTCAATAACGCGTCGCGCTGTTTTACATTCTACACGTGACCCGGCCGTTATTAAGTCTTTTCTCATCACAGCCGAGCACCGATTGCCGTTTCAAGACGAACGTAGGAACTTCACAAAGGCTGAACCACCAGAGGCGAATCGTCACAGCGTTACTTCCGACTTTTTTTTTTTCCATCCGTAGTGCGCCGCTCCAATTGCTGTTGCCATATATGCGTCGCGTTTTCAGAGACCTTTTCCCCAGGGAAGATATATATGTGTGTGTATATAAACGATAAGCTGCAAGTGAAGAAAATTTTTGTAGCTTTTTTTTCTTTTTCTTTTTTTTAATGGGTTTAATATATACGTTAAGATGAAATGTTAAAAGTCGGATGAGATTCTTAAACCTGTTACTGTACGAACTTCTTTCTTCTTCTTTAATTTCAATGTCATCGTCTGTGACGAGGGAGAGACGTTGAACGTATAGGAGTAATATGTGCCCACGGTCAGGATTTGATCATTTTGTGAATCGTCGTTTAGCTGGAGAAATCACACTCACTGTTCGTTTCAGATTTCCTTCTGATAATGCAATCTTCTTGGTTCGATAAGAAATTCCAATATACTATGTTACAGCCGTAAATTTCGTTTTCTTCAGCGGTCATCATTGCCGTTACGCCACCAGGCTCTAATGAACGTACAAAGCTTCAAAGAGATGTCACGATTGCTGGAGTCCGAGTGGAATCACTGGAATGATATTATTTCGTCGTGTTTCGCGACGAAACGGTTTAACCAAAGATTCTATGAGAAGTGGAAAGAATTCTTTTACTTCTCACTTCAAGTTACTTTCGTTGGTGACTTTTTTTTGTTTGACAAATTTTAGTAGACGCTGCGTGGAATAGAAGTTTGTTATTTACGTATGACTTATTTCAAGGTTCTAAGATAAGAATCGTGATGGATTATCCAATTTTGAGTAGAATTAGAAGAAAAATCTTTAAGTATCGTACGATGTAATTATTGAAATGTGTAATTGAATAAGCTAGCATGCAAAGTTACAAAGGCAGGAACTTTTGAGCAATGAGAGTCGTATTAACATATTTAAATATAGTTTATTCCTTTTTTTTCGACAAAATAATGTACAGTATGTTATTATACAGTGTCCTAAAGTATTACATACTCGTGTCCGATATGTTTTTTGGTTTCAGTTTTTCATCAGACATCTGGGGTGGTACTTCTTCTTTAAGTGAAAAGTACGATGGACCACAGAATGTTATTACGGCGCTTCCTAGGCACTCTTCTCCTTTGTACAAGACAGCAAACTAAAATAATCGTAATAAGTATTATTTATGATCAAATGTTATTACATGATAATTTAACAAATGCCATAAATAAAGAAACTAGTACCTGTCCTTCTGTAATTGCTCTCAATGGTTGATTAACGTGAATCAGTAATTGATTCTTTGAATTTTGATGGATTGTACAAGGTATTAAGGTATCTCTATGTTGATAACGAAAATCACAATCAAATAATTTAAAGCTACTAAATTCACTTGGTTCAGATGATATCCAATGAGGGGTATTTGTTACTACAAAATCAGAATACAGTGCTGGATGATCTGTTCCTCCTACCTATTAACATTATCAGATATAAACATTTTGTTTCAATAAAATAATTAGTTGATATACTACATTATTTCTACATACTACGATAATATTATTTGTTTCAATATCTTTTTTGTATATATAGTATGCAAGTGGGAAGTTTGGAAGATTCAGTTTCTGACCTACAGTCCAATGATGAAAACCTCTATGTTTTCCAATTATTTTACCAGTATCTAGGTCTATTAGATTTCCAGGTTTGTCAGGCAAATACTGTAAATATAATAAAAATATTAATACACAATTATAATAACACTATACATTGAAATTATTACACTATACCTCAGATATAAAGTCCTTAAACCTTCGTTTTCCTATAAAACATATACCCATACTTTCTTTCTTCTTAAGAATTATATCCAAATTAGCTTGTTGAGCAATTGTTTTAACATCCCCTTTCAAGTATTCTCCAACAGGAAACATGGAATATCGTAGAGCTTCTTGTTGTACTTGAGACAAGAAAAATGTTTGATCTTTGTTTTTATCTTTCCCTTGAAGTAGTTTGACATCTGAAAAAAATTTTCAAACAATTAGATTCAATTATATACATTGAAGATGTTTAGTTACATTACTTAAGGAAAGGTCATGCTTACTAGTATTTGGTTTAAAATGTTCAAGACATGGCCCAAAACTAGTTTGAACATAATGTCCAGTTGCAATAGCATCTCCTTGAAGCTCTGTACGTGCAAACTTGAAAAATTGATCAAATTTAATATACTTGTTACAAAGAATATCAGGATTTGGTGTAGTTCCATTCTCATATTCCTCTGTTAAATAGCTATAAACATCAATATAGATAAAATATTAATTTTGAAGTAAAATATACAGGTATACATACCTAAACACATCAGTCCAATATTCTTTTACAAAATTGGCTTCAACAAGAGGAATTTTTAATTGTTTGCACACCTGTTGTGCATCTTCATAATCCCCTTCAGATTGACATATCCCTGTTTCATCTCTAATGTCCCAATTTTTCATAAACACTCCAGTGACATTAAATCCTTTGATAATTCTAGTTTTAATATTCTTAATTCATCAACTGGTACATAATACTGTATTTTCTAATACTCCAGAATTACCTTTGTTTTTTAAAATCAATGCAGCTACAGCACTATCAACTCCACCAGATATACCTACAATTACTTTTTTAAACATTCTGAATCTCTTTTATTGTAATAAATAATTTTCAACTTTTATTATTCAAAATGTTCTTTCTCTTCTTCAGTTTTATCTCATATCATCTTAGCAAACATAAATTTCAGGAAACCTATTAAATTAATGCATAAAATGTTATGTAAACGACAGCATTTTAAAAATAATTTTTCAAAAGTTAATTAAACATATATATAATTGCTAATGTCGGAAACAAATTTGTGTTTTTCCTTCAGTACTCTGATATCAATAGTGAAAAATTATTTCATTGTTTACTTTTCTTTGGCGCATTAACATACGAAATAATACTCGAAATAGGTATTTTAAAATTGTTTTTATTAATTGGCAAACTATCGAATAACAATATTACGATAAATAGCTGTTAAACAAAAAATTCTTATTCGATTGAACGTGCTGAAGACAGATTACAGGATCGCATATAAAAGTTAATGCAACATTTATTGTTTCTCGAACATCAATTTAACCTTAATCACGTGTGTATTGATTACTACACGTGTACAACAATGCTAGTAGTGATTCCAAAAAGAACTTACAAATTTACAAATATTAAAGGTTAAAGAAGTACCGAATCGATCACGTGGTATACGTATACGTATTCAATAGATTCCGATTACGTTTTACGTGCGCAACGAATGGGCGGTTGTGGCGAGCTTCTGACGCGTCAAAGAATATCGAAAGGGTCGATAAAGGAATCTTTTGCGGAGACGAATTTGAATAAAAGATAGAGCGTGATTTTTCACGTGCACGTGGTGGATATTTGGCGAAATATCGTCTACTTGCTTCCTGTGATTAGCACGTTTCGAGGCTCGCGCGTAGGTCGATGTCCGAAAATCGTCGGCCAATCGACGCACGGCTCTCTCGTCGGGAACCAGTCAAGCACGTTGACAGATATGCAACGGCTGGTCGCAAGAGCTTGCATATTTCGAATGGCATTTTATAGTGTGGATAGCAACGTATCGCGTGCTAGTTCAGTCCATAGGATTAGACGAAATTCCCGAGACGATCCGCCGGTTTTCGACGAAATGCGCGATTTTGGTGCAAGTGCAACCCATTTTGCGCAGTTTCCATGACCCAGATTACGATGGGGAGTTCGCTCGCCTTTCGGAACAGCTGTTGGCCGCGCGAAGATGTCGGCCGCGGGGAAACGCTTGGATATTTCGTGGACTGCGCGCGCCTCTTGGCGGCTTCGCCGCCACAATTTTCAGGGCTGTATCTATTCACGACACATTAGGCACCTTGCGATTCTTCAATTCCTTCGGGACGCGATGCAACTTTTTCCGAAGAAATCTCATTCGATCTTTTTCGTGTAATTCATCACGATATGTTGGACTCACATGATCGAATTATTTGAACCGGAAACCAAAGGAATGAAATTATTATGAAAACATTTTGTTAAGAAATAGTGTTGTACGCGATGTTGTATGTATCGTACTATCTGGCTGCAATGTTTTTTTTTCTTTTACGTACTATACGATTCGCATAAAATGCCTCGCGCTATTACTCTAGTTTACACAAAAATCATGCGTATCCCGTCGATATGTGTTAAATCGCCGTCCTCTATGGCGTAATTAAAATTCCATATGCTGTAAAGATTACAATAGTGTTTGAGCAAACAGAAGTCTCAAAGTGTGAAGTTTTTATTGTTGTTAACGTCTCGATAACTCTTAAATGTGACTGCGAGAAGTTCGTATTGTGTACAAGTGCTCGAATGAAACTTTGGCGGTATGTTATTCAAGAGAGTATTCGTGTGCTCTTTTTTTCAATGTATTTATATCTATAGATATTAGCTGTTTTGTAAGAAACACTTTATATCTTAAATATTAATATACTGCGCGTAATACACGCGAGTTATTACAGCAATATTCGCCTAAAAATATGTCGATAATATAACAGATAAAAAGACATAAACAGTGACTGAAATTATAAGTATTGCATTGGTTGAAATTCTATGAAACTCAAACTGTCAGTGAACAACTAGAAAGCGTGGTCAAACGATAACCGTAAAAAAAAAATACGATTTCAAAAAATTTATACGACTATGTATACAATTCGTCATTGTTAATAATCATTCGTAGAGAATTGTTCGTAGCAATTACATTCCATGTGATTCCGGACATGTTAAAGTAGTTAGAAGTGCGTAGAACATCTCTGCCGTGGAAGCAGTGAAAAAAGTACTGAAGAATAATCGATGCACAATTAATGAAAGTTCGAAGAGAGAAGTCTCGTGAGACCTGCGGCACGTACGCTTTGCAGGAGGTACCCGAGTGGTTGGTAACAGAGACGCTTAGTGGATGAATACGGTCCTGCGCGATCCCCTCCACCTTCCTCATCCCGCTATACGACCAGTCAGTTCCTTGTTTGCCATACAAAATCCAATAGTTTGCCTTGTACCTCGAGAGAGTGCGAGTATGCCTTTTGCATTTGCCTTTTTTTTTAAAAAGTGCGGTAATTCATCGTCGTACTCGCGAAAATGTGCATTTTACTGAGTTTGTTCACTCACACGACGAGATTTCGATGGTTCTGAGAGGGAGATCAGAGAAAGCATAGTGAATTCCTGTCCAAGACCAGACCGACCGGCCCGTTAAGGCTTCGTCGATTTTTTGGTCGTGAAAAAACAACGGAGCCAAAGCTTTTGTGCGGAAAGTCAGTTGGACGACTGGAAAAGAAGACCAATACGACGAAAAGCGGTGTACCAAGTGCGCGTACGACATTCGAGGTGACGACTTTATAAAAGGAGCACCGCAGGACGAATATTTTCACTGGAGCTCTCGGGAAAATGTGTTATGTATTTACGTGGAATATTGCGTAACGTCGAGGGCCGGGAAGTGTTTGGAAACGTGCAACACTGACAAACCTCGCTTCGACGACTTCGCAGCACGGCCTGTACGCGTCCGTGCAGCTGGCTTTACCGGCTCTATTTCGTCTCTCTGTCCCAGCGAAATTCCCCTCGCGAGGCCGATACCGCGATCGAAATTTTCCGAAGAAAGAAACTCCACCGACGCTCGTATCTCCTCGTGGAACAGCACAACTTTCATCGCGATCAGCTCCGTTTCAACCTCGACCACTTGCTTCTGGATAACTTCTCTCGAAATTCCCTGGTGCAAGGACGTTCAACTTCTTTTCAGATGGAAATTGGTACGTAAATCTTCTATTATTTTTCGTTACATTTTTTCCTTCCTCTAAGTCACTGACATTTCTATACCCATGCAAGGTCATTATAAACTTACTATGTGGATGTAGACTGTCCTATAGAAGCACTAGGTTATAATTATTTTTATAACACACTTTTGAGTTTCAGTGCAACTTTCTTTCAATCATACGATTCAGATCCCATTTTGTAATTCGATATCATTTGGATTAACCGGATACTGTAACTTTTGCTTTACATTATGTACAAATCATTTGCTGTAATGTGTTTTTTAATGTATTACATTGGTTAATGCATATTAAAGTTCTTCCATTTGCCTCTTCATTGTTACGTTCCTTTTCTGACTCTCATTTCAGCAAAATGATGATAATAAAAGCAGGTACATTTTATAGCTTTGATGACCTAATATCAAATACTAAATAAAGAATCGCAGTTGCGCTTTTAGAAATTTAAATGTAAAAGTGAATGCAAATGGGCCATGTACCCTTTACAGTTACATTTAATGATATATAAAAAATAAAATGATACATTCATGGATTCAAGTAATGTGTAACAGCAGCGAGAAATATTTCTTTATAACTATGAGTAATCATGCAGGAATACTTCTTATATTATGTGTATAAGCAAAGTGAAATATTGCATAGAGAGTACATTGAAACTCAACCTTCATTTTTAGTAAGGTACATTCTTCAAATATTTTATCCTTCCTTATTATGTATACTTTTATTAATTTAATTTTCACTTATTTAATCAAAAACTGATTGAAAATCACAAGATTGAAAGGAGTACATATGACAGTGTGGCAGTTGAAGATATACAACAGTGATAAATAGTTACCCATGCAATAAATATCAAATTTAAAGCAGTACTAATTAATGATAATGAGTGTCATTGTTTATTGAAAAGAAATTTTCCTTTCCCCCAAATTTTTATAGAGGTCTAATTCTGAATGATTTATAGCACCTTTTGTGTGAGGTTATATTACCTAAATATCTTTACAAGTTGATTTTCCACATAATAGGCTTATGTTTAACTTATGATTTATTAACAATTATTTCCATAATTACACATAAACTAAAAAATATACCCACGCGTGTTTTAATTATTTAATATTATGCAATATATATAACAGTTTCAAGTATGAGTAATTCTATTATTTTTAACTTTAATATCGACTGAGAAAACGAATTCACTTTATTCGTTAGAATATTAGAATATATTCAAAATTCAATTACAGCATTGAACAATATATTTTTAATGAGTCATTGTGTATCGTAGTACAGAAATAATTTCGTACACGGTCACACCGAAGCAACGTGTTTAGAACTGACAGAAATACAAACGAAGTTTCCATGATTTATTATTCTAAACTATTCCTTTCGCTGAAATACCAAGAAATTTTCACGTCTCTGTTGAATTTCGTGACGTTTTACTATACTTTATGGCGATAAAGTTTCGCCTTGTTCGAAGTTACGGGAAAAAGTGCTCGCGCTGCTTTAGATTCCTCGTAAGTTCTGTCACACGGATGATCGAGCGCGGTGCTTTCAAAATTCCAAACACTGCCCGGTGTAAATTGAAATCGATCTAGAAGGGAAGCGTCGAATTTAGCAAGTGCTTTTTCTACGCGGCACCGATGTATTTATGTACACCGTTAGATAGCGTAGTACGGATGCATCGTCGATCGCGTCACTTTATCACCTTAAACGAAACAATACCAGCACCGAACACTTTCGAAGCTAGTACACCTTTTCCGTCTGCTTGTGGCGCGCTAAACGCAACGATACACCGCGTACGAGCGACTGACTGTGCTGCTGCACTGTGTTTCGTGACAGCTTTAGCGTGAACACGATGGCTGTATCGCGTAGATTCGCCGTGAAACAACACAAGAATAGTATGCAGGTGAATTATGTGTCTGAACGGCTACGTCTCTCGATCCGTAGCGTTTCCAATGTGATCTGCAATGAAACGTGTTCGCGGGCTGGACGAGGTAGCATCACCAGCAGCAGCAACATTAAAGCACTCGTCAGTGAGTGCAGGAAGTGGCTTAGGTGGCGGAGGAGGTGGTTTGGAGTACCATTCAAGCAGTGGAATAGGCGTTGTTGTACCTGGCCAAGCAGTTCGATCAGTCGCCTCGAAAGAAATGCCGGGAAGCATACAATTTGGAACTGCCCAAGCCCAACAGCAATACACTGGAGCAATTGTAGTGCCGACCGCGGCTCCGTCCCCCATTAAGGTGCGTGTTATCTACATTATAATAACAACAGTAACGAGCAGGAAAACAATCACTTGTCGTAATGTTCAATATTATTTTATTTATTTTTTTTCTTTTCTTTAATTTATTCTCTTTAGTTGACGATTTTTTTTTTGTCCCTGTTTAAATATGACGATATATTTCAATTATTTTTTCTCTTGCAGAATTATCGTTCATAATCGCCTTTTATGTAGTATAAATACACGATATAGCAAACTGATGCGAGAATGAATGAAATTAATTCGCTTAAAAGCGGCCTGTCGAATTAAACGTTCACCTATTACGTTTTTGTAATTGCCGCGTTAATAAATTTGCGCCCATATGATGTAATGCGTATGGTGTTATATAGAATGTTTCTCCTTGTAAAATAAATACGCATTATCATTGTTGTTGTTTTCAAATATTATTTCATTTTTATATTACCATGTACTTGATGAAATTGAACAATAAGAAGTTTTATCAAATTCTTCGGAATGAAATTTGTATAAATAATTGTCATGCTTTTTGTACTTGTTAATAAGATTAATTAATCAGACAATAATCACAGGACCACATTTATATATGTACACTTATTTTTAATTGTGTAATTTTTGTTGTATTTTGAATTTCTATATACAGGAACACAGTTGAGCTTTTTAATAAACAGGTTTGCAGATTGTGCAATTGTTACAAATTTTTTTACAGGGAAGTGGATCTGCAGGACTTAGTTCTACATGTAGCAGTAGCAATGTAAATACTGGTGGAGGGTTACATAGTGGAATAGGTGGTGGGAGTAACCATAGTATGGGTTCCCAACAACCTACACCAGGAACACAAAGTCAAGTTCATACCCAGCAACAACCAACAATAAGGCATAAGGTTCATACTATATAATGTGTATACGTGATTATAAATTATAGATGTTGAAATTTATTGAAAGTTGTACTACGATACCTTTATGATCACATAAAGATACTGGCATAAAACTTGTACTCTGGTTAAAACAATGAAAATGACAATTGAATTCTTCTAAAGATATTGTGTGTTTAATTATTTACAAAGTGTGCAGTATAAAAATGTCCTTGTTCCCCTTGTAGGTCCATTCTGGAAATGTAACACCATTAGCATCTACCCCACCAGGCACAAACCTGGGTGGTAGTAGTGGATCCCAACAATTTCAGAGATTAAAAGTAGAAGATGCGTTGTCTTATTTGGATCAAGTGAAGTACAAATTCAGCGATCAGCCTCAGGTACATATAACATAATCATTGATCAAGAGTTGATTTGATCAAAGAACACTGTGATAATCATATTGCATAATTAATTTCAGGTGTACAATGATTTTCTGGATATTATGAAAGAATTTAAGTCACAAAGCATAGATACACCAGGAGTGATAACAAGAGTGAGTCACTTATTCAAAGGGCACCCTGAACTCATTGTTGGTTTCAATACCTTCCTTCCACCTGGATATAAGATAGAAGTACAAGCAAATGAGCAAGGATACGCGTTTCAAGTGTCAGTTAGTATGCCAAGTCCAACAGCAACGCATACTGCTACCTTGTCGCAGCATCATTGCACAGTGAATGTTGGTTCACCTCCTGTTGCAAGTCCACCAACTCAACCAGCAAAAGCTCCCCCAGTTTTACAAATAATGCAAGGGTATGGCATTGTTAATAATATATTTATTATTTTACAGTATTTTTGTGAGTGAATTGGCAATTTATTTTCTATATTTTATTTAAAATCAGGTCTGGGAATATACATCACTCTTTGGCAAACAATATTTCCAATAACAGTTTAACAGTACATGCACCTTCACCACCGCCAGTACAAGCATACAACAATTCACATGTGAGTGCAGCTCAAGCTCAGGCTGTGAGTCAAGCACTAAGCCAGGCACAAGATGGCATACCAACCAGTGGGCAAACTCAACAGAGCCAACCGGTTGAGTTTAACCACGCAATTAATTACGTCAACAAAATTAAGGTTTGTGTTTGACAGGAATAAGACTGTTTAATAAGTTATGCAATTAAAGGTTCTTACCTCTACTGTTTTACGATTATAGAATCGATTCCAAGGTCAACCGGATAAATATAAAAGATTTTTAGAAATTTTGCATACTTACCAAAAAGAACAACGGAATTTAAAAGAATCTGGACACATGGGTGGCACAAGCGGATCTGGTGCATCTGGTGGTGCAAAACACTTAACAGAAGCAGAAGTTTATAGTCAAGTTGCCAAGTTATTCGAGAATCAAGAAGATTTGCTTGCTGAGTTTGGACAATTTTTGCCAGACGCCACTAATCAGCAAAGCTCATTGGTAAAATTTGTGTAATTCAGATTAATATAAAAAAAATCGAGTGTAATCTCTAATTAATTTTCGATCGATAATATTTTAGAGTAACAAGACTGCAACAGTTAATGACCACACAACAATCGTTAAGAAACCATTGGGACCTAAAGCACCTTACAATAATTCGGGGAATATATCGAGAGATCTTCGAGAGTCTAGCGGCACTGGTGCAATAGAACGAGAAAGTCGCGACCACAGAGATCGTGAACGAGAACGAGATAGATCTGGTATACGAGATATTAATAGTGTACAGAAATGTGGCCACAATACGGGACAATTGAAAAGAAGTCCATCGTTCTCACCTTCGGTATCAGCCGGAAACTCTCACCATATACAGCACGGTCCACCTCCCTTGAAAAAGCATAAAGTGTCATCTATGCGTGAATGCGTTACAATAGCCGAAGCTGGAAAGTACGGCAGCCTGAACGATTATGCTTTCTTCGATAAGGTTAGTACTTTTAATTTCTAATTTTTATAACCAGTAAAAAATAATAATGTAAGTGCTTAATAACAAAAATGAATGACGATATTGTTAGGTTCGTAAAGCGTTAAGGTCGCAAGAAGTCTACGAAAATTTCCTCAGATGTTTGGTTCTTTTCAATCAAGAAATAGTATCCAAATCTGAATTGGTGCAGTTAGTAACGCCATTTCTCGGTCGCTTTCCCGAACTTTTACGTTGGTTTAAAGATTTCCTGGGCCATTTGCCCGAATCTTCTAACACCAGTACAACAAATACGAGTAGCAACTTAAACGTTGAAGCGCTACCAAATAATGTTGTACGAAGTCATCAAGAGCGACCACAAGGGGACCTGGCAATGGAAATCGACTATACGGCATGCAAACGCCTAGGGGCATCGTACTGCGCGTTACCAAAGTCATACATTCAACCAAAGTGTACAGGAAGAACGCAGTTGTGTAAAGAAGTCCTTAACGATACATGGGTTTCATTTCCGACTTGGTCGGAAGACAGTACATTCGTAACATCCAGGAAAACCCAGTACGAGGAATTCATTTATCGCTGCGAGGATGAACGATTCGAATTGGATGGCGTAATAGAAACTAACGCGTCAACGATCAGAGTTCTAGAGGGAGTCCATAAGAAAATGAGTAGAATGAGTCAAGAGGAACTTCAGAAGTTCAAGCTCGATGATTGTCTCGGTGGTTGTTCTCCTACAATTCATCAGAGAGCTCTGAAGAGGATATACGGCGATAAGGCTGCTGACATTATAGATGGCCTTAAGAAAAATCCTATGGTAGCGGTACCTGTGGTTCTTCGTCGACTAAAGAGTAAAGAGGAAGAATGGCGGGAGGCACAAAAAGGCTTTAATAAAATCTGGAGAGAGCAGAACGAAAAGTACTATTTGAAGTCTCTGGATCATCAGGGTATCAACTTCAAGCAAAACGACGTGAAGGCACTAAGATCTAAAAGCCTATTTAACGAGATCGAAACGTTATACGACGAGGTTTGTAACACTTTTTCTTTCCTTAGTTAAGTACGTATTTCTCGTTATTTAAGAACATTTGATTTTACAGAGGCACGAGCAAGTGGACGATGGTAGCGGTGATGGCCAAAACAATAGCGGCCCACACCTCGTATTACCTTATAAAGATAAGTCTGTTCTGGATGATGCAGCTAATCTCCTTATCCATCACGTGAAACGTCAAACGGCCATCCACAAGGAAGATAAGCAACGAATAAAGCTTCTATTGAAGCATTTCATACCTGATCTTTTCTTCCATCCACGCCAGGAATTGAGCGACGACGAAAGAGACGAAGATGGTATTGTATCAAATTTCATACGAAATATATATTATTTCTAATTAAATTCTTTTACACGACTTACATTGCGGTTACAGATGAAAAGGAAGATCTCAGTGTAGCAGCATGTAGCAATTCTCAGTCAGTAACGATGAATACCTCTCCGATGGGCGGTGGTCTCCAAGCGAGTAGGAATAAGGCGCCGGTATCTCCGATTCCGTCTTCCACGTCGATTAAAACCGAACCTGATATCAAAGTACCCATCCATGCCATGTCGAATGACCCTGAAGAAGCGTATACGCTCTTTATGGGCAGCAATAATTGGTACCTCTTCTTGAGGTTACACCATATTTTATGTGAAAGACTAACCAAAATGTACGACCGAGCTGTCGCCCTCGCTGAAGAGGAATCGCGATATAAACAACAACGTAAGGAGAGTACGGCGGTCGCATTAAGATTAAAACCCAAAAGTAAGCGTGAATTCACTGTAGTTTTGTTTGTGCCAATGAAGTATGTTTCAATAAAATTTAACCTACATGATATACTTGATACAGATGAAATCGAAATCGAAGACTACTATCCTGCATTTTTGGATATGGTTAAGAACGTCCTAGATGGCAATATGGAAAGCACCGCGTATGAGGATACCTTACGAGAAATGTTCGGTATTCACGCGTATATTGCCTTTACGTTAGATAAGGTTGTAACATACGCTGTGAGACAAGTAAGTATATGCATATCGGTGTTTTAAAACTTCCAGGTCGCTTAGCATAATTTTATAGCTGAAATGGGATTTTTAAACGAAAATATGAAATTCTCAGTTGCAGCATTTGGTTTCCGATCCTATATGTCAGCAATGTATGGAACTGTTCCAACGAGAGCAACGTCAACAAAAAGAAAGTAGTGGTGCGGGTGGTTTGTGTGCTACAGCGTATATGAGACTTGGTGCAGAAATGTCGTATCAACGTAAAGCTGAGAAAGCTATGGCGGACGAAAATTGTTTCAAAATATACATTGTAAGTATTTGATAATAATTCTTTTTTTTTTCCAGTGAAATCATCTGAAAAATGATTTAATCATTGGCAGCTAATTCTACCACTTTTTTCTATAGCTTAGTATAAAAAGAAATGAAAATTTTGTTTTATAAATCTCTAATGTATCGTCAACCAGTGCATTGTAACTCGTAAATATTAATGTTGCATCTTTCAATTACAGCTGGCAATATTATTTTATGGATATGAAAAGAATATAAATAAAAAAACGATACTTTTTAGTAGATCACCAGAAGGATGTTCTATAGGTAGAATTTTTTGTTGTTACAGTATAAGAAGGACTGTAAAATGACAATGGAATTGTTGGATACGGAAGGTGATGAGGCGATGGACAACAGTTGTAGAGAAAGAGAAAGGGAAGGAGTTACGGTATCTGAAAAATGGTCTACATATGTTGAGAGGTTTTCTGCTCCAGCTGGTCAGACTAGCCCGAAAGACACCCCTACCTTAACAGACAATGAGCCAACAACCAATCATCCTGTGAGTAACGACCAGGCAGCAAGGGGGGGGAGGGGCAGAAAGCGCAAGAACACTGACATTAGCAAGAAGGTATAGGATCCACATCCCTTTTCATAATCATTGCCAACGTTGAAGTTTACATTCATTCGTATTTGATGTCTGTGATTGGAAGTTGTACTGTTGCCATTCAGTGTACAACTAGTGTCCCAAAGAACGAAAGTTTTTTCAGAAAAAAAAAAAGAAAAAAAAAGAAAACGAAACTTTCTTCTAATTATTTCGTGTGATCGTATATTATACAATATGCTACAGAGGTATTCGTGCGTGAAACGTTTGATCTCGCAGTCGGGCACTTTTCCAAAACAAACGAAAAATCGGTCTTCAAGAGAAAAAAAAAAAAGAATCTTTGTTGACTTCCTTAAAGAGAGACACCAAAAAAAGAAGTAGAGAATATTTTAGGAACGAACGTTGCAGCATATAATATCGGTTGTTTGCTAATACGAGGAAGCTACGTAGCCATATACGATCTGCTATCACCAATGCTTTATCATGCGAATGGGGTCAGAGCACTGGTTCATGCTTGTCATTATATAGAAGTCGCAGAACTTTGTATACATAAGCACAGAATGAACTAATATTCTTTTAAATGCTAAAGAAAGAAAGAGAGAGAGAGAGAGAGAGAGAGAGAGCGAGAGAAAAAAAAAGAAGAAAAATATGGAAAGTCATATATTTATTTTCGTAACGTTTAAAGAGATAAGATAGATATGATTTTCATCTCAGTGCGTCCATTGTGGTGCTGTAAATTAAGTAAAGAGACAAAAAAAAAAAAAAAAAAATGAAAGAAATGACGAAGAAGAAGAAGAAAGAATAATAGTGCACTACGAATCCCCCATTCTTTATTCTAATATATTCGCACTACTGGTGTGTGTTGCAACACCGTTTAGATATTATTGCGACAAACTACAAATTATATTTCTATATTTTAAATATCGATTTATAGTAGAACAACGATATCACAATAGCAAATTTTTCCAAAATTATTTCTAAAACGCTAAGTTTCACCGAACGATAATCCAGTAAAAAAAGCATACCGCCATTCACAAATTCATTGCTTTTGCTTCCTCGTTTCTTACGACGTGAATAACATTTGTGTTAATACGTTTGTCCACGTGATCGTCCATACAAGGGTTTCTTTTTTTGCTTTAACATCCAACGATGATGTATTCTTTTATTCGGATTTTTTATTCAGGGTTGAGATAAAAAAAAAGAAAAGGTGCGTTTCACGCTTCGAAAGATAGTGCGCGATATTTAAACTCACGTACGAAGAAAAATTCGAATTTTCGGTTGTGTTTTTAATTTTGTTTTATGTTATATTTTATATTTTACACGTTGTATTTATTCGTCTAAACGGTTATCCAATAACCTTTTATTGTTTGTTTTTTGTTGTTTCCTTTTTTTTTTTTTAAATATTCGAAACAAAGAAAAAGAAAAGTTGTTCAATACGATGATTGTATAATGCTACAAAAGCTTGGAAAGCTTAAAAAAAAAAAAAAAAAAAGAAAAGAAAATAGGAATACGTACTAAAACTCGTTAACTTACTTTCATCATGTTGAGAACATGATCTCCCCGTGAAAATATGCTATCACCTGACGTAGAAAACAATCGGGTCAACGAAACGAACAAGGAAAACAAATTTTTCGTATATGTAGTTTAACGTGTTTATGAATTACCATATTTGTCTCCGTACTTGCCTATTTGACGTTTCTTTAGTGGAGAAAGAAGGAAAGAAAAGAAAAAAAGTTAACTAGTTAGAGCAAAAGTGTAAATTAACGAGATGAGTGATCGAACGATCTCGACACATTTTTGCAAAAATGTACAAAGGAGAAACTGAAAATAATAATAAAAAGTAATATAATAAAAGACAGCAAGGGGACACGGCATACATACAAATGAAGTCATCCGAGCAGTGCCATAAAATGAATGTAAAGTGTTTAGCATAAAAAAAAGAAGCAAAAAAACAAAAAGGAGAAGAAAGAGAACATAACATTTGATATCGGTCAATTCTTAATGTTTAGTTCATTTTCATCTTACTATTATTGTTATAAAACTTAGATAAGATGATAATTTCTAGAATTTATTAACGAGATAAATAGAATCTAAAGGAAATTGTAAATATTTGATATAAATTTGTACATATGTTTTGATACGCAACGTAGGTCGACTGGTAGTGTGCCATCTACTAACTTGTAAAATTCCACCATTTCACCTATCATACATTCGAACATTTAGTGAAGCCTTTGGAAAGGGGGAAAAAAAAAACTATACATATATATGGAATATTGACTCTCGTGAACACATTACTTCCACGCCACACATCACGTCGTGTGCTGAGTATCGTCGCATTTTTTGTTTTTCTGTCTTCTGTAGCTCCCAACTTTGAATTTGTCGCTACGAAAAACGAAAAGAGAAAAGAGAGAGAGAGAAAAAGAAAAAGAGAAATAACCTTCTAATAACGAACCGGAGTATAAATATCGAGATAATACAGAATATACGAATGGCTGAGTGAGAAGAGACGCTGAATAAACGGACACGAATAATAACGTGATCTCTTGGACCGTTTTTCAAACACTTTCTAAAAGGATGTGTGATTTATCCGGTTCCGGAAATTAAACGAAAGAGAAGCTTGGGCCAATTTCTCGTCCCTACTTTTCAAATATTAGGGTATGTTACCGATGCACCACCGAAATTGTATAGTTTTTAGGCATTAGAGATTAACTCTTTGATTACAAAAAGCCAAAGCAGAGCAGAGCAAAAGGGAAGGAAAGAAAGAAGGATAGAAAATAGTCGACGATGAGTTTTATTATTGTGTTAGGATTAGCGAAAACCTATTTTAGAAGAGAATTTCAATATTCGATGAACATCTTGTCGGTTCGACGTGTTTTTTATATTGCATTCTTCGATGATCAGAGAACTCGTTGATTTTAGAGGGTGTAGTGTGATATGTAAGATTATAATAGTATGCATTGGTTCTAGCTTGAACTTGATAAAATGGAAGTATAGCGTTTAATCATGGCGTGGACCAAGTGTGTTCCTGGCTTAACTGTTGCGCCACTGTGAAATACACGTGTATGATAATTCTTTGCTGTGTATATATTAATATATAAGTAGTGAAGCAAAGATTATATATGGTGTAGCATGTAAATAGAAAGTCACTTGTATCTTTTAATTAAAAAAACAAACAAACTCGTAGCTCCTAATCGAAGGGAAACGTGTAACAGTAACGAAGCGTTGATATACCATCGAGATCTGATTTTTTCGAATATATCTACCAAAGGTTTCACAGATTTTTTTTTCTCTCTTTTTTTTTCTTTTTTCTAGCTCTCTCCGGTTGCTGTTGTTGCTTGTACATTTTTTTTTTCGCATTCAAAATGCTCCATACTGTACTACCGTTACTTCTTTTTCTTTATTTCTTTGTTCTTCGTTTTTTTCTTTTCTTTTCTTCGGAAAATCCAGTGGAATTTTCATTCGTACTAAAGTTTACACGTTCTACCATTTTCGAGATGGTAGAATAATTTTTTCGTCGGAGGTGTTTAAAGATTTCTCGCGGGGCACAACCGAGAATTTTTGTTCCATACTGAAACGTTAGTTCGCAATCAAAAAAGTGTCGATTTGAAAAATCTCGAACGAATCTT